TATCATTAAGTAGGCCCCTAAGAGGTCTCCTTGCAGCGTCATTCCTACGTCCAGTAAGACACAGACAAATACGCGCTCGCACTAGAGCATGATCTGAATCTAAGCATGTGCTCCAGAATGAGCGACAGTCTTCTATCGAGCCCCTCCATCGGTGGCTGATGGCGATGTGATCTATTTGGGTCCAACGTTGGGACGAATTAGGTGGTCGCCATGTTAAAAGATGTTTTTCCTTATGTTTAAAGTTAGTATTAGCAAGAAACGGGTGGTTATCTGAGCATAGCTGCAACAGACGGTCGCCATTATCTGTTCTTTGAGCCATGATGCTATAAGATCCACCCAGGTGTCTTTCCCCATCGCTTAGTTTACCTACTTGAGCATTAAAGTCACCGGCCAACATTAATACATCCGAGCGCCTAGCTTTTCGGAGAAGGTCGGAAAGCTTTCTGTAAAACTCATCTTTGACATCATCTGAGCTGCAGTCAGTGGGAGAATAGGCAGAGACGACGAAGATGCGACGACGAGTGTCCCTATCTTTCCAGATTCTTACTGTTCCGTTCAGTCGGACAGCGCACAAACGACTGTCTACTGGGATCCACTCTAAGAGAGCTAGTTCTGCCCTAGGACTCAATGCTATACCTACGCCGGCGAGGCCACGGGAAGCAGAATCAGGGCTTCCAGATACACGAAGCGTAAATCGAGTCGGTTCTTTATTTTGGCATGGTGAGGTCAAATGAATGACGCTACTTTGATCCTGTATGCGTGTTTCATAGACGCAGCACACATCGCTGGCGCGAGATTCTAAAGTTTTAGCTAAGGAAGCCTGCTGTCCTATTTGGCAAAGTGTTCGTACGTTAAAAGCTCCTACGTGTAGTTTAGAGCGTGGTTTCAGGAGACCAGGAATGGCGTTCCACGTACTCGAATCGTTTGCCCTAGCGGTGCGAGGTGATAAAGAGACGTGAGGAGGGTTAGTCATGGAGATAAGAGAGGTATTAGAAGGTATAGGAAGGATTTGAATGTGACCACCTTGGTCTCTTGTGCTGTTACGGGTATGAGGGCTGATATCACTTCCCGGCTGCCCACACCGTGGAAGGGTATTTCTTGAGGAACCTGAAAAGGAAATTGGATTAGTGTTGGTCTTGACGACCTGGGAGCGTGACCGCAGAGCCCAAGGGACAACTGCTTGAGGCCGGTCGCACACGGCCTTTTTGTGGAAGGTTTTTGACGTGTTAGCTCCGTTCTTCAAAGGGCCTTACCGCCGGAGACGGAAATCCGTGAGGTAAGGTGAGGTGTGACATTTTTGGGGTCGATCTTTTCTAACCCCACCCCTCCTTATGGGAAGGCAGCATCGCTGTCATGCTGGTTGTCCGAGGGAAACACCTTACTGCTGTCACACCTCTCTACAGTCAGCAGTACGACTTCGCCCTCAAACCTTGAGTTGCTGCTTTTAGTCTTACCGTTCACCAATCGACCTGCCTGGGATGGTAGAACCTGCAGGAACATATGTTCCAGCCAATATAGCTCGGTTGGGTCATCACGATAGGCAAGCCCGACCACCGCGTCAAGGTAGCAGCTTCGGTCGGGAAATTGGTCACCACCCAATTATCAATCAAATGTGAAAGGAAGCAATACTACATAATAACAATAGTAATAATAAAGGGGTAATTAAGTAGTATGTTAATAACCATTCTTTCTGATATACAACCGAATATATAGTTTACACAAATAAAATCATATAGTGAATTATTCTATATGATTAAATATATTAATACTTTATTATACACGAAGTTACTTTGAAAGTTTAGTAGAAGTGAACAACTTGAACTTACGTGTATGATAATGAAAGATTATCCGTAACTATGAGGTGAGTTTCAATTTTTTCGAATTTACATGAAGAATAATTATCTACAAATATAATTTTAAATTAATATATTAGAGAATTAAGAGTTGATAGCATTATGTCTTGTCACATCAATATTATTCACTGTTATTATCAATGAATTCTTTTTAAAAATCGTTATTAGCATATGATTATGGTAATCGGTTGGAAACACTGAACGTAATTTTAATGATAGTTAAGATTTTTTTGTGTGTTCTGAAAAATTTATACCCTTCAGTTTTCAGGTTTATTTTATCAAGCACATAAGCCAGAAATCTTACATTTGGAATACTTACCATTAGATTGACAATATTTAAGAATAAGTGCATGAAATTTGTTATTTATATTATGAAGTGACTTCAGTTAGAAAACCATCGAAAACCAATGAGCTATTTGTTCTAGTACTAGACTCCTCAGGATTATGTACCGACAAATTCATATGTAATAAAACCCGAGAGCTTCAGCGTAGGATTATCTTTATACAAATGGATTTGGAATACTAGTTCTTATTACTGAGTTCAGTTAATATGTAAAATTGATAGACCATCATCGATTAGCATTAGTAATATTTGTTTCACTTCCAGTATGAATGAACTCCACTGGTTGTAATTTTACATCATAGCTTTGGGAATACTTCTAGGGTGTGGCCGATTATTAATGCAAATTGACTAAATATGAAAACCACTGAATATCAATTCACCGGTCTAAAGGTGACTCACTCATTGTTAGCCCTAAAATTTAAGTTCGATATCTGGAAGGATCATGAATGTGCACTATTGAAGAGCCCTACGCCAGCCAACTAATGCTCCTTGATATTTAGTCTAGTTAGAGTCAGTTCGCAATGTCAATTACAAACCCAATAATCTTAAAATCTTCATCTGCTGGCATTAATTTTCACAAATGTCGAATCTATGATACTAATAATATTTTGTTGATCAAAATAGTGATGTGGTTAATAATCTCATTAGAAGCTATTCAATCTAGTAATGAACCTGAGTAACACCGGTCCTGGTTTGTGATGAAGGGAGTATCCACGAGGTTACAAGCATGGCTTGATAAAAGCACAATGACAATGTTCAAACGAATTTCTAACGATTTCATTCAACTGACAAATAAGAATTATGATGAAATGTAACATTGAGCCACTTGACCTAACGGTCATACTATAAACTTCTTTATTGAAATTTAATTCAAACTTTTAGACTAGATAGGTGACTGTTTTGTGTCCAATCACCTTTGTACTTGTTATATAAAATCAGTCTCATTTGTATTATGAAATTTAGGCCTAGATTTGTTGAAAAATAATCTGTATTCATTTAGTATTTAACGTTAAAGTTACTATTTTGGAATTTGGTAAATGTTTAAGAATGGGTTTTGTGACGAGTTGAATGAAACCCATTATTCGAGCTTGAAAATACTGACCTATCAAGACAAAATTGCCAACCATAAACAAATGAAGTCTCTCCATGTGTACAATAGGATCCTATTTTACACAACAAAAGAGAATGAATATGTTTATTTATTGGAATAGTTGGTTACTATAGTAACGGTCTCCTAGGTTATGGACGGATTAGACACAAGTACCCGTGAACACGTGTAAACTAGTGAAGCCCAGAGGTTAAGAATAATGCTTATCTTTTCATAGGCAAATTCGAAATGCTTATGATGATTAAGAAAGAATAAATTGTGACGATCAATACATAGATCAAACGACTAATTATTTGAATCTACCAGTTAAATGTCAGCTTAACGTTACATGGCTGCTAGATGAATTTGGGTCTATATTTCCAGTGAATAAAATAAAAATGACCAATACTTAACTCGACATTTTGTTAGGATGGAATACATTTTAGTCAGCATGACTTGTGTTTATGGATTGTGAAATTAATTTTCAAAACGTCAGCGACAAACCTGTGTCCGTTGGAGGCCAGTGTATTGTTCAGTTGTATAATTGTCGCACACTTGCTGAATGTGAACAATATTGATGTTCCCATTATAACCTAGCCGTGCTTCCAGCTATTCGACGTCAGTCAGTCAGTAACAACGTAAAACTTCGTAAGTACGTACATCAGTTCGAGTTGCCACACCACATTAGCATAGAGATGCAGTGGTCGATTCAAATCCCGTAGTGGTAGAGGCAATAAGAGTATAAGCAGTAATCGGGAAGATTAGCTATTCGACGAGAAACCAAAGCACATTAGAGAAACGCTACAGATGAGTACGAGTGCTAATATTACACGCAGCCGCCTTCTGCAGTCTTCGTTGCTATAGTTCAAAAGAAACAAATGGTGACTCCCCGTTTTTGGCACCTAATTATACATTTCAGCTCAAATACCAGAATCTCAAGTGAACATTGGAATGCCCTCCTAGCTTTGTGCAGACATCACTTAGTCAATACTATCTGTCCAGTAGAGTTGTGAAGAGGTTTGACATTTTTCTGTAACCTTACCGGACTGAGGCCCACAACCCACTTCAGTTTGACAGCCAAATACCACCAATCCTTACACCTACAGCTCGGTTATGAATATAGTCTGAAACCGTACAACACCCGTGCTCTTCATTATCACCAAGACTTTCTGACCTGCAATGAGATTTTTGTTACAAGTACTGAGCCCGCCGTGTATCAAATAAACAAAAATGGAGACAACACCCGGTCATCTGCTGTTTTGTAATCACGAATCTCCATCCCTCCACTCTAGATTTCTGGACCAAATTATAGTTGCCTGGCTGAATTCTTCTCCAGTAAGGATTAAATGGTACTTCCCAACTCAATTATCATATTAGGCAGAGCAATCTACAAAACTGATGAAAATACTGGGCAGCTACATAAATTACTGCGACAAGACATTCTGTGCATGCTAACATAACAAAACCAGTCACTTAGAAGCTAAATTCGATCATGAGTTGGACGACTTATTTCAGCCGAAGAAAAATTACTACGAACACCACTGGGTTGGCAAGAGGGCCCTCGTATTGTCAACTACTTACAACGGGACTGAATATAGAGAAAATCTGTAACCCAGATGGTCTTGTAAGATTTTAAGGCTAAACTACATAAACTTTTGTTATTCAGCTTAGCTTGTATCCATTTAGGAACCAAATAAAAATAACTGAAACGGCAATTGCAACACACAAATTTATGCAATGAAAATTAAAAAACAATGCAAAGTAATGTAGGTGATACACATTATAAGTAAATGGTAATAAAAAAGACTACAAAAAACCAACAAGCAAAACCATACATAATTGTTTCCATTATTGAAAACGAAATACAATAGAGTAAATAAATCCAAAATCTTGTACTCTATCAGATTAGAAAGTAATGCTGCTTGCCAGAAATAATAAAAACACACAATGACTATAAAAAGAAAGGCACAAGTGCGAAATAATTGTGTAGTACGATAAAGATAAGTAACATAAGATAAAAACAAAACAAATGCGACTGTGTCCACCTTGCTTCAAGTAAGGCGTTACACACAAATTAACTAAATCAATTTGCGAAAATAAACTAGAGGAACGGAATGGTTAATTTATATGAAATGATGCTCATTTAATGAAAAAATAGGCCAAGTTTACAGAGAAAGATGAAGCATAAAATAGATGAAGTGAGGTAGGGAGACATGATAACCATCAAGAGAATTCAATCACTGGTAAATAGATGCGCTAACAAATTTGCACGACCGACACGCATTGATCTCTGTTGATTCATTATTTGTTTATTAGATGTATTTTCTCTCTCATATGGGTGTAATAGTCCTCGAATCTTACACCATAACAGCGCGTTAAACAGATTAATATAAGTGGAAATGACGACAAAATGACGAAACAAATTATAAACTAATGAAGAGTAAACAAAACAAATATCTATAAGACAATAAAGACTAAAATAAACAAATAAGTGGATCAGCATTCAAAGACTATAATAACCACCAAATGAAAAAAGAATACGAAATCCAATAAACAAATAATAAATCAAGAGTGATTAATGCTTGTCCGTGTGTTGCAGCCGTCTAAAAATTTCAATTTCAATAAGAGAAATCCAAACAAACAAAAGCAGTCAAAAATAATTAAGTATATGGTATTCAAGATAACCTAAGCCTAGAAAACAGAAAAACATAAAACTGTTTATAGTCAAAATATAGAAGTAAAAATAAAACATGGTTAACATTGATTAATCTGAAGGTTGTTATTCACGTAGCCCACCTTCTTCACCTTCAGCCTCAGATGAGGCCAGGAGTTTGGAGAAATTCATTAGGTCGTGTGGATTTAAAGAACCAGCGCATTCAGAACTATTTTCGACCTCCAGTCCATTGCAAACTGACATGTGGTGGTCAGCAGCATCAGACCTGGAGACTGCAGTTCTGCTCAAAATAGCACACACAGATCGCGGCGTGTTTGGTGTTGGGGTCCCAACTCTGCCTTCTTCGTGTTCAGTCCCTGACGTGTAATGAGTCATTGTTGAAGATTTAGGTATTTCTTGGCATGTCGAACGAGGTGATAAGTGAGTGATGTAAGAACTTGATAAAGGCGGTAAAACAGATGCAGCAATTTGTTCTGGAGCAAATGAAGACATTTGGTTTTCCCAGTCAATCAACTGACGAAAAGAGACATTCCGTCCACCGCCGATAATTATCAGAACATTGGAGGGACGAGGTAGGCGACCCTCTAGTTGTAGGCGTGATAGGTAGCCTGAATATATAGTCGAAAGTGCTGCTCCACAAGCTGGATCAACAAGCATTCCATGGTCATCTGAAATGTATAGAAAACCTTCATATTAGTGAGGTATGACAAGGCAGAATTTTGATGGAAGAAAATACTGAAGGCTTGAAACTGTGCTTTAGAGTACGCTACACATTATCAAAGATAACTATGACAATGTCTATCTGGATGTGGTCGACTAGGAACTTACACAACTAACTCGGATTGGTTACATGCGACATACTGCTAGTTCCCAATTAATCTTAATTGACATGGTTAAACCTTGTATCATGTCCTCATAATATGTAATCTTTGTTTATACATATTAATACCACTGAAGTAACAGCTTCTATGAATTTGATGCTTATCTTGCTGTGCTCAAGAGATATGGCAACTTGGACTGATGCTTATAAGCGCCTGGTCCTACGTTGAAGCTGACTGACCAACATGGTTGAAATATGTTAGTCTTGTGGAGTGTAAGGCAACACAAATTGATTTTCGTATGACTAAGACATCCAATGCTCTTGATCAGAACTTGTTAACGTGTACATTTCCAACATTGACAGACGTTTGAAATGTGTGGCTACTTAAGTCTACTTTTAAACCTAGTTTGTTTGGCTGACTTCAAAGTGGTAACCTTATCATCGACAGGAATAATGTCATCGTCAATATACGAAGTTCGGGACGGGTACAGAAATAATGTGTGAAGCTACTGAAACAAGATCTTACCCAAAAAACGTTTAACTCCATCAACTGCCTCTCCGTCAGTACAGGTCACTGCACTAATCGAATGGCATTGAGCCAAACTCCAAGCACGCTGTGCCAAGACTGGGGCGCTGAGAGAAGTTGCAATCGTTGAGCTTCGTGGGATAACTGCTAACTGACCAGATTTCAATGAACGGTTTAAGCAATCTGCCCCCTCTGTTTCCACAGTTACGATATGGGTTGAAGACCATCCTCTATTCCACAGACCCTAAACATGTAGAAATACCTCATGAAAATCTTCGGAGAATAAGCCCTGGATAAAACTTATTTGTGGGATAAAAGGTTTATAAAAAGGCATCACCTTAAAAATATATTAAGATATTTTAGTTGTCCAGCGTATTTGAATTATGAAGTTCGTTGTTAAATGTACTGACTATGAATGTGAAGCCTGAATTTACAAATTTTTGCTGTATCAGCATTATAGAACTGGGTTAACATCGTGAGTAAAAATAACATGAAAAATGTTACAGATATATACAAACATTTTTGTAGGAGACAGGAAGATAGATGATTTGGTTTACAGCCAATGGACCATACATTCAAGGCACCTATATTCACTTTGATTTAGGTAGTATTGCTAACCCTCGGAGTATTAAGCTGTACATGGGATACCAAATTTTAGATGGAAGAAGTTTCAAAATGTGACGACACTCACTTGTATGACGCCTGCAAGCAACCCTCCACCACCAACGGCGACAACTATAGCATCTGGTTGACCGATTTCTGGAGTGACTTCGTCGACAATAGTTTCGTATCCTTCCCATAGTTCAGGCTGATCATAAGGATGAAGAAGTCGGACAGTGGGATCATTATGTCCGGATTGTAGGTCGTTTACTAATTGTTCAGCGCGGTGATGGGCCTCCAAGAAACTGGTGCCACCAATAACGATCTTGGCTTCCTGCGCCTCTAATGATAGGCGCCGTCTAATAGTTTGCTCAAGAGCCTCAGGAACTACTAATGTACAGTTTATTCTGTAAGTGTGAGCTGCAAAAGATACGGCTATGCCTGCATTCCCAGTAGTTGGACAGACAATATGAGTCACTCCCGCGGCTGCCCACTGAAATCAACAAACGAAAACCGAATGAGGTGAATAAACAAGGTCTGGTAAACTGTTTTGTTGTCGTGATGTATATTTTTGTTTGACGCAGACAACCAATTTCTAGCGATAGCCATTATATTTAAAAACTGGGTGTTAGTAATGTGAAATGACACTTTCAAATATGTCCAAAACATACCCATAATAATCCACTTTGAGCACTTCTGGTCACACTATTACTGAGGACTAGTGTTAGTGTTCGTTGTGACTTCTTGTTCACTTGATTGACGTGACAACGAATTAATTTATGTACCCTCCATTAGGTTAACTAAACTTCTTAATTAAACTGGATCCATCTATTTTAGAAGTTAGCTTATTTTACTGATAATGGAAACCAGAAGCTTGGGCTCCCTAAATAAGTAACAATAAACAATTTGATAAAATACAAGGAATCTGACAGTGAAGTAACAACTGAATTCGATGTCCTGTTTTCACTCTACTATCCAGCAGCACATCATGACTGGTAAAAATAACAACAGAATCTTAAGTATAATCGCTTAAACTATATAATTAAAAGGATGTGGCTCCTCAGACTTAGGTGAAGTGCTATTTTAAGACAAATAACACAGTTACATGAAAACTTGTTAAACGGAATATTAGCTGCACTTAAATAGGGTAGATACACTGGACGGTTGTTTGAATTGATGTAAAAAAGATTTTAACATTAATTATTCATTGAATCAGTTATTCGCAACATAAAACCTAGATCAATCTTGAAGAAAAATTTTATTTGAAGTAGAAAAACACCTCAAACAAGCTTGCATTGTCGCTCAACGTGATCGAAGGACCTAGCATCTTTTCGGGACCGCATCATCTACGTATTATATATTAACGGGTGAATCTATTACATCAATTTCTAAAAAGTTAGGTAGTAATACTTATGGTTGCCACGAGAAGTCTCGGGTGGGGACTGCGGTCGACGGGTCCTCACATAGATTGACAAAGATACAAAACATCTAACTCAGATAAATGAAGTACTAAATAACTTACCTTGCGAACCACATTTTCAACACCACGAATTTTGAATGATCCAGTCGGTTGAATATTTTCTAGTTTGAGCCATATGTTCATCTGACAACCCCGCTGTGTTAATAAACTCGACAAGACAGGACTTGGTATCAAAGGACTTTTAACAGACAAACGCCTGCATACTCCAGCTGTCAACGCACTCGGGTTTATTTCGTCAGAACGTCCAGTTTCCGGAAGTGGGTTAAGTACAGACCGCTGTTGGGAAAACAGCCATGGAGAATGACTCGTTGTATTCGTCAAGTTCCTGAGAGACTGTTCCAGTTTCGGCTGGTCATTGTCGACAGTTCGTTGGGAGTTTAGCGTGTTAATTATCGAGATTTCTCTGGATGAACAGCGATCAACCCCAGCAACCAAACCTGGTGAGTTTGCATTATGGTGACCGTCAAGGAAATCCAAGACATCTAACGAACTGGTTTGTGAGAGGACGTCGCGGTTGAAGATCGATGTTAGGTTGTGATCAGTGACTACGAAAATAATTATGTGGATAAGTTGTACACAAAAGGAACTGCGATTGGTTCTAAATTTCAACTGATTTTATTAATTTTACAGGTATGAATTATGACTTGAAGTGCTAAATCCGCTCGATTCTGGGTTATGTCACTCAGTCTTCACAACCACTGGTTGCGATAGTCGCGCGAACCCCAACCAAGTAAGCTGCATTTACCAACATGGCTCAGACCAGTGATTTCAAAAACTGATACCACGTTCTGATTTAGTAGCCCCTGGCTCCCTTAGATCAGTCTCCAACACCCGTCAGCATTGCATGCTGTGGTAATCGGTGGTCCGGGCGCGCGTATTACGTGACCCAACTATCTCGGTCAATGAAGACCAACATCATCAACTGATTTACCATTATTCCTTAATACTCTGCGTTTAACCTTACTTTTACCTGGCGATCCCAGAAGACGCTATCATGCTGGTACCCCACGAGTATCTTTTACCTCTTACCCTTAATTGATAGACGAATATCTCGTCTTTGCCATGAGTGACGTAAGTTGACAAAGTCAAACGAGCCTTTTGAAACCGAGCAGAGAGTTCGTTAGATATTAACCCATTACTAATGTTCAGACTTCCAAGATAAGTGAAGTGATCGACGCGTTCGATCACTTCATTTCCCCTCCTTAATTCAGGTCTTGATGCAAACCGGTCCCCAAGCGGCAGTTTGCATCTAGAGGAGGTGAAAAGCATTCCAAACCTCCTGGCATTGTTGCTGAGTGTTACCATAAGACTATTTTATTAGCGTCTTTACCGAACTGGACTGTCACTTGTGTAGTGTAGGTTGTTAAGTCAACCTACTGGATGAAGATCAATACCTAAAAATCCAGTCGGTGAGGACGTTATTTCTAGTAACAGGTCTACGACGAAACTGAACAATAATGGAGATATTGAACAGTCCTGCCGGACATCACTTGATGTTGCAAAATCAGGTGACAGTCCGCAAAAGGATATGATTCGACTGAAAATGTTCGAGTAAATAGACTATATGGTTTATGTACACCGGAAGTACACTTCAATGGCAGACACTGCCACATAACCTCCGGGTCTACAGAGTCAAATTCTGCTTTTAATAAAAAATCTTTCATCGTCGGGCGTCAATAAACAGGAGTCAGGACTGGTCAAAAATTTTGCGGAAACACTTAATGCGAGTCACTCAACACTTTTAAATTTAGTAGTGAGACAGACAGAACAAAAAAGTAATCTTACTTTTGTTTCGCATGATTGGTCGAGGAGGGATGCCAAACGGTGGGTTTGACGGTAACTGGAGGGAACTGCTAGATTCCACTGCTACGTTTAGAGTGACTTCAGAGTTTTTTGTTTCTGCCATATACTGACTTTGTGAATTTCCGTGCACAGCGCAGCCTAGTGTGTTCAGCGTCCGTCTATTCAGCACATTTGTGAGTATATTCGATTCGGTCAACGGATCGGCGTTACTGTTGTTGTTAGTTGTACGATTAAGCGGGAGTGGTGACTGACGCGAAGAAAAGTAAAACAGTCCATAAGTTTCTCTTGTTACTGAACCAATTAAACGCAATCTAAGCGGTGTGGTCCATTCCGGGGCCTGATAACCATTCAAGCGCAAAACAGAAAGTTCAGCACTACGAAATGAAAAAAATGCACAAACCTACTTATTTTTCTCCTGGAAAATGACAGATGCACTTGAAGTGAACTTGGTGTCTGCTGATTCTGAACTCATATCACTTGAAGCTCCATTCAAAGCGGGACTGAGACGAGGCTTTTGACCTGGTGGTGAATCGGGAAATTGAGGAGCTAATAATCTAATAACCACAACGGCCCCGAAATTAGAAAAGAGACGCTGATATCATAAATTAATCTGCAAGTCAACCTACGAGTAAATCCGGTTCAGTCCACTCTACAGGTATCCCAGTTACTATAATCTCCCATCCAATTATATTTTCATTTGTGACTTCAGAGTTTAGTGAACCTGGGAAATTAGTTCCATTGGAAAATGTTTGGAGACGATGTCCTGTGGTGTTATTTATGATAATAAGATTTACCTGGTGTGAACCGACGACCACCTGAACTGGCGTACGCCACACGCAGTCGTTTCTGCTCCGTCTCATAGCCATGATAGGTTTGTATTGCTAAAGCTGCGTGCTGAGGGTTCACGAAATCTACGAACCCATAACACAAACTAGCGCCCGTGTTCTATACATAATAATAAGAAGCAAATACTCTTACCTTGTCTCTAATAAGCTTACACTGCCTAATAGGTCCCACTCGCTCAAAAAGACGCTGGAGATCGTTTTGGTCGTAGCTCTGAGGAAGGTAGTTGATAATCAAATTGGTGCGTGAGCGATCTTCATTACAAAGGGTGTTACTATTTCCATTCTGATTATTATTCCCCAAATTTAAGCCAAGAAACTTGAGTCGAGACATAGTATCAATGTTGTTTACGTTTGGTCCGTTTATATTCAAGACTGAACCATTGACAGAGTTATTCATTGAGTCTTGGAAAGGAAGTGAAGGGAAGACGTCCGAAAGATTGCTGCCCATGCATCCATTTACGTGCATATTTACTGTCCTTACAACCCAACAAGGCGAGGTCAGCACGCAGCACCAGGTCAAATTCAAAATTCTGCGTTGACGCTGAAACCTATGAACTTAAAGAAAGATGAACCTGATGCAGTAAAACCCTTGGTCAAACGGATACAGTTATTTCACCATGAAACGATATTTGGAAGCCACTTTTGTTCACAATTAATAGTGTTGTATTTTTAAAAGGAATAACAGAACGTCAACTCTATATCAAACATGATAATCTAGGTAGATGAACGTGCTGTAGAAAACAACATCGGTGTCTTACGTCTCGAATTCTCCGAATCCTTTGGTTGACATGATTAAATATCACCATCCTCGTGATTGTCATCGTTTACCGACCTAGTTGTGGCATAATATCAGATAGACTATTCGTGATTAGAATGAAATATTGTTTCTCCAAAATCCCCCAGTTCAGTAATAGACCTATAAGCAACCCATCTATAATGCTCCTTAGAGATTTGTGTCGTGAATTTGCTTCCTTAGGATTTAGCTAGGTAAGAGTTGAACATCAGGAAGGTTAGCCTCGGTAGACAGCCTAGCAGCCTAGTACATATTTGTTCTATCACACAACCATTTAGATTGACATTGTCTTCGGGACATGTAATCTACTGAAGGTACTCGGTCACGCATCTGCACCAGCTCACGAGTAGGTACGCCGTGCTATGCATCCCCTTAAACTTTTAGCTAGCTCAGACCAAACGTTCCTCGACATACCAATAGCCTTTCAAATATATGTCTGAACTCCATTTCTGACTTCCGACTTTACGGGGTTGGTGTATGCTTTATGTGCAAGAGCATTGCCAAGCTCTGAATAACGGCAGCATTTTTAAAAAGATACAGACATGTAAGAATATTTAAAATTAATTTTTCGAGTTACGAATGCAACCAACAACTATAAATTACTGGAAACGATAATAAATGAACAAATTGCTAGGACGTTCTTCAAACAGCAAGCATTAAGGTGTTCTGGGAACCTAACAGTTCCTCTGGAACTTACCCGTTTAAGACTGGTATTAGATGTCGGCTAAGCTCTAACTTGATCATTGACCATCATAGGTTGCGTGTCAGTTATCTAAACTGTGACTTTCGGGTTTGGGATGTGAAGGTCGATAGTAACAATCTAGGATCCGTTTTAAAAACTGAGATGATTGTGTGAAAAAACTGGGTTACGATGGCTACTATTTCGTCTTTTTCCTCCTTTTCATTACATTGCCTGAACTTACTGTAGTTATGGATTTGTAGTGACTCACATTTACCACGAGAACACGACTGGTTTAATAAAAACAATTATTATTATAACCAACTGTACCAGTGTTTGTTTTAACGTGCTTTTGTTTGACTGTGCTAATGACAGCTATTTTGTGCCTCCATTCTTATACTTACACTTCGATTGTAACTTCGCGCGAATTCGGTTACGTTCTGTAACCAAGCTTGTATCCTGACACGATCTCGGTATCCCTTCGATACCACGAGATCGCCAGCAAATATATATCTCGCTTTGGTCCATTAATTGTCTTCTGATATTTGGCTTCTCGGAGATTTTATGGGTTTATTTGGTTACGTTCTACATTCGCCTTCTGATTAACTTGGCACGTGTTTCTTTCTAGCGGTGTTCATAGTTAATCACAACTCGACGCCACGCTACAGATTATTTCGTCGTGAAGTGAAACACAATTCCAGGACTAGAATCACTCACTGTTGTGGCAAGTAATTAAGGTCACAGTTTCCAGAACTCTTTTGCTGATGTTTTGTAGAACTAAATATCATTTTTTGAACAATCAGCACGATTTGTCCCGAAAGGATCAATAATATTTTTGCATTAGTAGAAACGGTTGTGTTTTGTAACTGATTGCTAGTTTATTTTCATGATCAATCTACCTACTTGATGCCGTTCAGGTTTAACTGACTTTGTTCAAAATCGCCTTATTTTGTAGCTAACAATAGAGCTGCCTTTCAAGTAAGTGGCTCCCAGCCGGTCGATGCTGACGTTTCCCCTGTCGACTGTGTCGTACTTGAGTTTACAAAGAAGAACTCGATTGATATTATCAAGGGCTCATTGTAATGAATCAGGATGTATGTAAACATGTGTATTTAACAATAAGGCGAGTCCGGTAGAAACCTTATTTGATAAGGGTCGAGTGAGGGTAGATGTTTCCTGCGTTTAGGTAACCCTCGTGCTATTGACAGAAGAAACCAGACTAGTGGCGAATAGGCTTTCAAATAGATCTTCGCTCAGTCACAGTGGAGCGTGGGATCACCTGTTCAGATAAACAAAGCCTCTCAACATTCAATATAAGATAATAGGAAATTTAACGCCTATACAAAACAAGGGAGTGAATGAATACTTGAACTCTACTGTTTTGATATATGCTTAGTAGTTTCAGGTCAACTCCTAACCAGTCAGCATAAGCTGTTACAGATCTAACTGAAGATGACACAGGTATTCAGTGTTTGACAACGCTTTTACCAGTAACACCTAATATAATTTGTACTCACCGAGAGAAATCAAAAGACAGAGTTGAGGAGATCGGAAGAGTGTATTTGGCGATTACCAATATATCGGAATTCTCTGATCTAATCTGGCTAGCGATTGCAGTAGATGTTGAGCACAGCGTTACCACACGTGATCTGGTGCGGATGCATGACCGAGCGCTTTCAGCTAGATGAGTCCACTAAAACATATGGTCAGCATCCAATGTCGAAAACTTACAGAGCTATTTATTTTGGGGATTTATTTGCCGCTAAAGATCACTCCCCCCCCTTAGTGGGGCAGTGACGACCCTAAGACGTGGCCAGCCAGGAGTTTAAACCCAACGAGTTTGTCGTTGGTAAACACTCTTCTGATAGCTTACTAAGTTTAGCAGCGTTTGGTCGTCTTTCCTTACTATATGGGACCGAGGTACAACATAGTAAAAAAAGACAAAGTTACAACGAAAATTTCGACTCCTCGTAAGCTGTATCGTTTTTTTCCAGCCGTCCTGGAAAAGGAAGAAGAAAATGTAAGTGCATGTCGAAATACACTCGTATGTGCGTAAAGCCACAATGTCGGCGAAAAAATAGGAAAATAAACTCAAGCACACGTAATAGCGTTAAAAAAATATTTTTTTGTTTGTTTTTAAATAAAAATATAAATATATAAGCATATTAAAATTGTTTCTTTAAATATTATATGTCGTAAAAAGAAAGATCGAGATAATATAAAATGTCGAGTAGTGCCTTACGTGCAGTAGTCGTTTAAATGTTCTGGAAATCTTACTCTTCTTCCAGAACGAGTCGTCTTAAGTTTATTTTCAGATACATTCGGAGTATCATTGCTAGTGTTGGTTGTCGGTTGGGGAATTATGAGTGTAGGAGTCGTGTTGTGCGATTGTACCGAAGGAAAGTCAACGTGAATAGGATTTCCTTCTAAATACGCTGCTTTTAAGCAATCGATGCTGATGCTATCGTTTGTTCCGTTCTTATCGACTATATAGTACTTCGGTTCGCGTTGAAGAACTTTGAAAGGTCCTTCGTATGCTGATTCGAATGGTCGTCGATGCGAGTCTCGACGAACGAAAACGTGTGTACTATATCGTAAGTCAGGTTGAATGAAAACATCGGTTGATTGTGGTCGAGTGGAAGCAGGCTTAACTGAACGCGTTGCGTTTGTAAGACTGTTCGTGTAGGAGGCTAGATCCATGTTCATTGAAGAGGATGAAGGACTCACGAATTCTCCTGGAAGTCGAAGTGTCGTTCCATAAACGAGTTGAGCCGCAGTGTATCCAATGTCAGCTTTGACTGTATTGCGAATACCTAGTAAGACGAGTGGAAGAGCATCGGTCTAGATGGTGGTTGGAGGTAGTCGACAGGAAACCCTGGACCCGGATTTCGTGCTACTTGGCACTCGTCAGCAAGGTGTACCTGTAATCTCGAGGGAACTGGTGCTCCCTGGCGGATTCGATCTCGTGTCACCCAGCTTCACAGTCTGAGACGTTACCACTGAGCTACCAGTTCCCTCGAGATTACAGGTACACCTTGCTGACGAGTGCCAAGTAGCACGAAACCCGGGTCCAGGGTTTCCTGTTGACTACCTCCAACCACCATCTAATCCCAATACATAGTGCCCGCAGTGTCGAGTCACCTAGACTGGTGGCCACATTGCAACATGATCGATAGCATTCGATCTGCACTAATAAGGACTAGACAAGCATGAGATTGATCACCACCCAGTGATCAATCTATTGTGAGCATCGGTCTACTGTGAAACGTTTGCAGCTGATAGTGAAACTTTTAGTTGTCGGTGAAAACGTTCTACAAACCCGTTTGCTTGTGTATGGTAGGCGGTCGTTCGGAAGCGAGTGATTCCTAAAAGTGTGGTCAGACAACGGAAAAGTTCAGATTCAAACTGACGTCCGCGGTCTGTAGTGATGGTTGAAGGGCAGCCAAATTTTGCTACCCATCGTTCGACGAAGGCGCGAGCCACTCTTTCAGCAGTGATGTCCTTGATAGGTACTGCTTCTGGCCATCGAGTGAAACGGTCTACGCAGGTTAAGAGGTAAGAGTATCCATTTGAATCTGGTAAAGGTCCTACCAAATCCAGATGAACATGGTCGAAACGAGCATCGGGAGTTTTAAATGAGACTAAGGGACATTTGTTGTGTCTGATAACCTTAGACTTTTGGCAGCTTACACAGGAGCGTGCCCACTCCCTCACGTCTTTATTCATTCCAGGCCAGCAAAACCGTTCTGCTATAAGGTTGATGGTTGCACGAACGCCTGGATGAGAAAGTTTGTGCATTGTATTGAAGAAGTTGCGTCGATAATGTTTCGGCACGATTGTGCGATCCCTACCTGTAGATGTGTCACATAATAAGGTTTCCTTACCTGTTCCCATCTGTTTTATGCGTAGTTTAAGGGTTGTAGATAATAACTCGTGCTGAAGATCAGTGTCTTCTTTTTGAAGCTCGGAGAGTTTATGAAGGTCGATTCCTTGGAAACTGTTCAAGGAAGTTATGCGAAATAAGGCGTCTGTAACTACATTGTTTGCTCCAGAAATATG